AAAAAAAAAAAAAAAAAAAAAAAAAAAACGAAAAAACAAAGTACCTAATCAACCAGCATCAGTAGATTATAACAAGACGATACATATTCCGCAAGTATGAAAACGAATAAAATTAAGTGTTTCAGACTCATGGAGTTGAAACCATCAGGACCTTTTGATGCGTTACACGTAGGTTTTCTTGTTGTTTCGAAAGTGTTTCGTTGAAATACTGTAATAGTTCAGTAAAGTTGACCCTGCTGTCTATTTCCTCTTCCTGTTCTTCGCTGGAAAGAACTCTATGAACCGTTTTAGACTTCTCAAGCTAGCAGTGAGTGCTAAACAAAACAAAAAAAATAGTTTGTCTTCCAGTACTAAATCTAAAAACGTTTTAAACACTTTTATATCGATCAAAAATAAAAACAACTCGATTAAGAAAGGAGCAGGAACGCATTGTAAGCGTCTGTGAAGTGTATTGAAAGCATCAGTTTGGGGAAGGAGCATGAGAAGAGACGACAGTACGAATGCCAATGGACGCCTATGTACGGAATTCAGCAAATCCAGACGTACATCTAAATAGATTAAAAATGCTTATTCCTAGTCACTTAAATGAAGAGGCACGTAGACAAGCAGAAGTAGAGCAAAATAAGGCTAAAATAAATGCAAAAGGTCTTCTACATTATTCATGTAAAAGAAGATTAAGCCAAACATGCTAAAATTGGACTCTCAATAAGCTGCACCAGCTTGTCAATTTCCACTAGAACATCAACAGTAATGTTAACTTTCGATAAACACTTCGCCAAATCACTAGCATGCTTATACTTCTGTGACATTATACATAAACCTAATAATGCGATAGGCTGATGACACCAGCAACGATACAAGCATTCGAATAGGCTGGCACTTTCCTGAACAGACCAGTTACAAAAAAAAGCAAATCATACCTTAATAATAATGTTTTTGAATTTAGCCATCTCTCAGTAACCAAATACTGCTGACTAAAGCAAAAAACAAGATTTTTTAGCTATAAAAATCGAGACTGATATTTCAAATTCATTTCAGCTTATCAAATTTTTTAAAAGCATGGTTGACTGGGTCCGTAAGCCTTACACTCTTTTTCAATAATAAATCAGAAAAATTTATGTGTTAGAATTCATTGCTAACTAAACTGAAATGCTTCTTCTAACAAGTTTAGTGTTTAATCTTCATTGAAAAAACTCCTAACACAGCCAAAACAGTATTATATCTTCCTTTTCAAGTTATCTAGCTACCATCAATAAACTTTTACCAGTACGAGATTAAGGAAATATCCAATTTATCAAAATTTTAAAGATGAAAAGCACCCAAAGAAAACGCACTGCTGTGTTCAGATATTTCAAATTAATTCGCATTTCGTACAGCTCAGTCGCAGTAAACAGAATACCGTTCAAAATTGAAATCATCTGGGTAAGAAATTGTACATTATCTTCATGAAGTAACAACACTGAGAGGCACCGAAATACATGGGTGGGATCAAGCAACAGACACAACTGCCTAGAATGAAAAAACAGCAGGTTTTCGATTACAAATAAAACTTCGTGACTGCATATAAAACCTACCCATCACAAAAATAATTAAGCTTATAAACTAACAACACCTTTTCTTGATCTTTTAATTTCAAATAATTTCACAAAAAAATTTAGACAATTTAGTAAAAAACTAAACCTAAAAGAGCTGCCGTTTAATAAAACGATTATTACCAGTTAGATTACGTTTAAAAAACCAACTTTACACGAAATGTAAAATAATTTCAGTACCGTATAATTAAAACACCTCGATCGTCCAACAGCTGGGCATCCTTACGGAACATAGTGAGCAAACTAACAGCAAAGCGTACTAAATGTGGCGAAATACCTACAAGCTGAAAGTAAAAACATTAATTACTTCAAAAAAATGAAAAAAAAAACCAATAACAAAACTTAACAACATTTATGGATAAACCAAAAAAAAAATCATAACTGTTGTAGTAACAATTTTGACTAAAGTCACCTGTTTTTTCATCAAATCATTAAGGTATGGCGCCTCGAAATTTGCAAGTTCTGGATTGTCTTTGTCACAAATGTCACATAAGATTTGCAAGTCAAGTAAAAGAACATCATCGCAGCTATCAAGCAGCATAGAAAAAAGCAGAGGAAAAATCTTATCCATATATGGGGAAAGCTTAAATGCAGAGTCCAAAAAAACAGTCAATTGCAACAAAGAACTGAGTTATAAAAAATCGTATAAACAGCCAATGATTTTTCTCATCCCTTTAATAAACAAAAAAAGAACAGAATCCTATAAAGAAATTACAAAAAAGCTTTTGGAAATGTAAAAAAAAAAAGTGATACAGAAAAACCCCAAAACTTTTACTTTGTAAGTCCGCTACCACTATTTGAAAAGCAGCTAATCAAACGTAATTACCTTTGAGGACGCTTTCGTGTGGATATGTTTTAACCATCTCAGCACAGCTATTCTAGTTTCACGTTTGGCATGCTTTTGATGTTTTAAAAGCACTTCAATAACAGCTTCTAATTCAATTTCAGTGTCCTCTGTGTATAAGTCCAACAGGACTTTATTGATATCATTCGCTGAAAAGAAAAATCTTATCAAAAAAGTGATCCAAAGAGAGTTCATTTAGGAAGCAGGAGACTAACCTTTCAACTCAGGGTCGTCCAAATACGGTAAAACTGCAGTCAGGTACCCAGACAAATATGGAAGTAATTGTGTAGAACGCATTTGAAGAAATTGAGCTAACCATAATAAAGCAATTTTCCTCTCAATTTCATTGCTTACATTACAGATGTGTAAAATTAAAACATTAACCATCGTCCCAAGCTCCACCTGAGAAAATCATGTGAAGAAAAATTTAGAAGAAATGTAGGAAAGAATACTGTAGAATGTGGCTTACATTGTCTTTTTCATCAGCACTACTAATACTTTCTAGAAACTGTCCTAGAACAGCTTCAGTAGCGTCGCGTAAACCAGGTTGAGGGTCGCCGAGCATTTGAAAAACACCATCCAAAACTTCCGGTATATACTCCAAAATTGAGATTTCAGGCGCAGTAAGCAAAGCAGACAACTTAAAATCAATTTCTGACAAATTAAAATTAACAAAGCTGCTGACTTGCTGTGACAAAATAGATCTCTCAAATATACGTAAATCTTTGAATCCTACCCAAGAAACAATAAATCTGCGATTAGAACTATTCTGTGAATAAATTCTTTCCCGTATTAGTACCATAATTTGGGAGACATCAAAGGAACCGGCACCAATCACAATATCCTGAACTTTTGTAAGCGAACTTGAATACAAACAGGAAAAAAATTTTTTTCAGATGAAATCGATGCCAAAACTGTTTGAAGGGAGGTGAAATTAAGTATACATGTTAAATACTAGTAAGCCATTGCTTGGAAGGCGAGTCATATTTTACGGGATCTACCTATCAATTTAACGATTAGTTGCAGAAATTAGATTTTTGATGAAACTTTACACAGAAAATTAAAAAAACATATACCTAAGTGAAAACTTGTTAACTGCTATAAATAGACGAACCTACAAAACTGATACATACATTTAAACACTGATCTAAATTTACCTTCAATAATCTATCTAATACCTCGGCTCCGCTTCTTACATTAACATCAGAATCTGCCGACAGCTAAAAAAAATTTTAAAAAGTTATTCTGAATAAGTTCTTTAAAAAAAGTTAACTCAGATTTATTAAGACTATGGAAATGATATCTACTAACCTTCCATAAAACATCGAAAAGGACGTTAAAGTGGCTCAACGCAGAAGTTCTGCATACTTTAACTATATTGTACAGCGACTAAAAAAAATGAGCTAAAAATACATCACACATTACTTAGGCCTTCTGTTAACAATTTTTGCCCAGTAATTAATATAAACTGGAAAATCAAAAACAAAAGCCAACTTCACACGCGTGATACCGAACTTGCGAGTCTTGGTCGCTAAAACATGGAAGAACGGGCTCAATTAACGGAGCGGTATAATCAGCTATACCCTGGAATATGTCATATATCCAGCTTACTGCAGGTTATATCAAAAATTAAAAAGGACCAAGGAAAGTCAAAATGTTAAAAAACCTAAGACGAGCTTCAATTTCTTGAATGTATAACAAGTCTTGACAGAAGGAAACCGAAAAAAACCATACTTTCCCAAGAACAACAGCTGCAGCAGCAAGACCCAGCAAACCTCCCTTTTTGGTATTCCTGTTTTGCGATAAAGTTAAACTTTTTAACACGGATAAGAGCTTTTCAAGCTGAGAAAGCTGGTTCGTTTGAACCAAGTCACGAACAAGCCTAAAAGTTAAAAAAAGCAAAGTATTTCAGTTACAGAATATTTGAAGCGTTATCAGAAATCTGAAGAAAAGAAACTATTCTCCATTTAAGAGAATACTGAATTATTATTCCCGAATCCTCTGTACTGAAGGATGAAGCTTTATTCGTTAACAATTTGATGCCTACGAGATTGCGCAGCTCTATTTGAAAAATTTGAAATGAGTTGCTGACTTGAATTTAAACAAAAAATGTGAAGCTGATAAATGAGCCTGCAAGAACTATTTTTCTATAATATTCTACCAATGTTTAAAAATATAATGTTTAAAGTTCTATAAAACATAATGCAAATATAAACTTTATATAATTTCTACAAGAAAAAATGAAATAAAATGAAAAATTCACTTTTCAATATCCATAGCGGCAGTTTTTCTTTTCTCGTACAGTTTATCGGACAGAGTCCGGACAAGCGCAGCAGTTAATGGAGAATACTGAGCATCTGTCATATTTAATATATTTTGCTAAACCTCATAAATGAACCTGCAAGAACTATTACTTTGCCATAACATTCTAGTGATGCTTAAAAATATAAAGTAGAATCAAAACTACAATGTAAGTGCAGTACAAAATTAATAACAGTATATTTCAAATTTATTAAAAAATCTACAGTATGATTCTTCAAGAAGTGATGAAAGCTGAGATCATGCAACACTGGAAATAAGGTTGTTTTTAAGTAAAAGAACTAAAAACTAGAAAAGTAAAAAAATTTTCAATTATGTTATATCCTTCGAATAACAACGATGCAGAAAACAGGAGAACAACGTAGCTTTAAAAAACTGTCAAAATAGTTACTGAAAAAAAAAATAAAAATAAAGTTGAGAAGTTAAAATAATGCTAGATCATGGTTAAAATTTGGATAAAATTAAACAATTCTGAAATTTTTTATTTTCACAAAAACTTTCTTCAGCGTTTAATATAACATATGTTACGAAGTTAGAGAAATGTTTAGGTAGTTTTTACAAACTACTCAAACAACCAAAATGTAAGAACCAGTTTGCTTTTCACTCTTAACAATGGAAACCATAAAGTTGTACCATGAAAACGATCAACTCAAAAACTTAATAAATTTAAAATGAAATATAGACTGGAAAGCCACACAGTAGCACTCTGGATGAACTAAGACATCAGTAAATCTAGTGAACAGGCGCTATAAGGGTTGACTATGACCAAAAGGAAACCAGAAAAATGGATGTACATTTCTTGCTCACTTCATTTTATGGATTTTCGTCCAATCCCATGAAGGAATACGTTACCACTGACAGTTAGGACACACTTGACAATTGCGCAAAAATTTATTAACCCCTGTAGGTAACACTAGTTGATTTATATTCAAATAAATTGAAACTGCTTGAAAAAACCCTAAACAAAATTTAGCTACCTCAATTTCTGATTATTCGATCATCCCAGCTTTACCTTTTAGACGAATAGGCAAAATCCACAAACAAATCATAGTGATTCATTGGAGTTTTTCCATTTAGCAAAGAACTTTTTTAAAGTCGGTAAATATCAAATTTGAAGACTATTTTAGGTTTCTTAACGCATACTGAAGTACAGTTAAAAACAGTTCAAATTTTTTTCTGTAGAAATTTTGAGTCATATCAGATACTACATTTCCATAAAAATCTTTGTTTAATCTAATAATTTCTTCTGCTAATTACTTTGCTTTAGA